ATGATGTTATGAACACATATACCTATGCACGGCATGACATTCATCTGCATACGCATGACACTATGAATATTTCATGATTTACAGAGTTATTCAGACTTATATGTCGAGTCTTTTACTCCATATTTCTCTCATGTCTATTATTTACTAATTTTCATTCCTTACATACTCAGTACTTTATTTGTACTGACGTCCCTTTTGCCTGAGGATGCTGCGTTTCATGCCCGCAGGTCCCGATAGACAGGTCGAGAGTCCTCCAAGTAGGCTATCAGCTCAGCGGAAGATGTTGGTGTGCTCCATTTGCTCCGGAGTTGCTTATTTGGTCAGTACGATTTAGACATATATTGATTGGTATGTCGGGGCCCTATCCCGGCCTTATAACATTTATGTACTCTTAGAGGCTTGTAGACATATGTCATGTATATGAAAGATTGTATGGCCTTGTTCGGTATACGAGTGATTATTTTGGCCTTATAGGCCCATACGTTATATGTATAAGTCAGTATATCGGGTTGGGCCGTGTTATGTCGAGTGTTCCCTCATGTTTTATTCTTGTTTCCTCATATGACCCTTCTGGCCCATTTACCCATATTGATGTGATGAGAATGACACGTTACGTTGGTACTCGGTTGAGTAAGGCACCGGGTGCCCGTCGCGGCCCATCAGTTTGGGTCGTGACACGGCAGGCTTTGAGAGATTTAAAAAGGTACTTGTCAAGCCCTCCGCTACTTTATAAACCAAAAGAAGGTGAAGCACTGTTAGTCTACCTCGCGGTCTCGAAAGTCGCAGTAAGTGCAGTTTTAGTCCGTGAGGAAGAAGGTACGCAATCTCCAATTTATTACGTTAGTACAATTTTAACACGAGCAGAAACTCGCTACCCGTATTTGGAGAAACTGGCCTTAGCTCTCGTAGTCGCCGCTCGGATGCTGAGGCCCTATTTCTAATGTCACCCGATAGCTGTGGTGACCACTTTTCCTCTACGAAACATCCTCCACAAACCCGAACTCTCAGGTAGATTGGCCAAATGGGCCGTCGAAATGAGTGAGTTCGACATAGAATATAAACCAAGGACTGCGATTAAGTCACAAGTCTTGGCTGACTTTGTGGCCGATTTCAGTTCGGGATTGCTACCCATGGCAACCAAAGAGGCAGTAATGGTGTCGAAATCGACATCGGGGGTTTGAACCTTATTTACGGATGGAGCTTCCAACATAAAAGGGTCCGGTCTCAGAATACTATTAATCATGCCTTCGGGGGAAACCCTAAGGCAAGCCATCAGAAAAATCCCTTTAACTAACAATGAAGCAGAGCATGAGGCTTTGATTGCAGGGCTAGAACTGGCCCGGGGACTTTCAAATGCGACTCACAGCTGGTGGTAAATCAGGTCTATGGGATCTTCGAAACCAAAGAGAAGCGAAAGCAACAATACGTGGTGAAGGTCCAGACCCTAGTGGCGCAATTTCGGGAGTGGTTGATTACTCAAATCCCAAAGGAAGAAGACGCAGAAGCAGACGCGTTGGCTAACCTTGGGTCATCAACGGAAATAAAGGGATCAAAATCGGGGACGATAGTACAATTGATAAACTCGGTCCTGGATGTAATTAGCTACTATGAAGTATATATGACTAGTTTGATATGGAACTGGAAGAATGAAATCATCGATTATCTCGAGCACGGGAAGTTGCCTGAAGACTCCAAAGCGTCCCGGGCGTTGAGCACCAAAGCAGCGCGGTATAGCTTCAAGAAAGGCCAATTGTATATAATTCCAAGGCACGCTGACCCGATGCTTGGGGGCATACGGGGCTAACTATGTCATGGAAGAAGTCCACGAAGGGATATGCGGCAACCATTTGGGCGCAGATTCCTTAGTGCTGGAGCTGGTAAGGGCATGATATTATTGGCCTGCATAGAACAAGATACTAAAGACTTCGTACGAAAATGTGATAGGTGCCAATGCTACGCACCACTGGTACATCAACCGGTAGAATTGTTGCATTCGGTTCTGTCCCCGTGGTCGTTCATGAAATGAGGGATGGACATCGTCGGACCATTGTCGCCGGCTCCCGGAAAGGTAAGATTTCTTTTGATTTTGACTGACTATTTTTCTAAGTGAGTGGAAGCAAGTTCTTATCAGAAGATCGGCGAGCGCGAAGTGGTGGATTTCTTGTGGAAAAATATAATTTGTAGGTTTGGAATACCAAAAGAGATAGCATGCGATAATGGGCTTCAATTTATCGGTGCAAAAGTCATAAAGTTCCTCGAAGATTTAAAAATAAAGAGGATCACATCATCACCTTATCATTTGAGCGCAAATAGCCAAGCGGAGTCAACGAACAAGGTGATTATACAAAACCTCAAGAAAAGGTTGGAAGTGGCTAAAGGTAAGTAGCCCGAGGAATTACCCGGAGTTTTATGGGCGTACTGAACAACGGCCAAATCGAGAATAGGAGAAACTCCCTTTTCCCTTGTGTACGGGACAAAAGCTTTAATCTCTGTGGAAGTAGGGGAACCCACCTTAAGATATTTCTGAGCGGATGAAGAATCAAACAATGATGCAATGTTAATCAACTTGGAGCTACTCGATTAACGCAGGGGCTTCGCGCATGTAAGAATGGCACCCCAAAAGCAGAGAATGGAGCGATATTATAATAAAAGAGCCAACCTCCATTATTTCAAAGTATGAGACTTGGTCCTAAGGAAAGTAACCCAAAACATCCTCCTCGGGAACATCAACTAAGCCCGAGAGTAGACATGATTTCAAGGAAAAGATAGACGGGATCAATCAATTTCCTCACATAAAAAGCTGAAACAAGGTTAGTCTGAATGGACAATGCTTTCCACGTACGGGTCTCGGGCGTAGTGACGTCTAAGATCTTTTGGACTTACTAGCCCAAGCTAGCCAAGTCTTCAACTATAGGCAAAACTTGAAACGAGCGTAGAATGAAGGATCAATACAGATATGGAAGAATCCCTAATCAACTAAATATTAAACAAAAAGCTTACGAGTGCGGTTCCACGTTTTCGAAAAGGATGAAGTCGTTGCCGGAATAATGTCGTTGGTAGCAACTGCAACAAACTATTCCATCCACCCACGGTCGTTGTCATCATTCATGTTAGATAACAGGGCATGATGGCCGCGTTTGCTGAAATTTATCATTCCCCCACGGAAACTTTTGTGTGAATTGAGATTCATCACATGAGCTAAAGATAGCTCCTCTCCCGTCTCCTGGCACAGGCGCCGAAGACAAAAAATCGTCCTCCACACAGAAGGAATTACTTGTGTTAAACACACTTGGTAGCAGAGTCAGAACTCCACAATGACGGAGTCAAGCTCTCCATTTAAAGAAAACGCACCCAAAGTAAAGGGATACATGTAAAAATATGTAAAACCCTTATTGGGAAGGGTCACTTGCTCCGTTAGATCGGGAGCAACAATGTCCAAATCATGAAAGCGGCAGTCTTCCTTCACAACAGGAATACTGGAAGGACGAATGGAAGAAGGGTATCTGCCAACATCCCACGTGCGAAGGAGAGCCGAAGAGAATTTCTCTTCGAAGTCTTTTGTTGTAACAAGACTTCTAAGAATGATAGAATCCACTGTTGGAGGAGTAGCATCTTCAGCTTTGCTCCTGCCCTTTGAAGAGCTAACGTTCTTTGAAGAAGAAGCCATTTAAATGAAAGAAAAGCTTTTCTGTTTGAAGGGAGTTGCGGAAAGGTTGAGTAACAACAAGGAAGATTTTAGAAAGTTTGGAAAGTTATGGTAGTATAAGGGGAGTAGGTTGATGCGTATAAGTAAAAGTTTTGGCGGCTAAATTCATGGCCATGATTACCTCAATAACCGGCAAAGGTTATGCTGATTCGTGGGATGACGCGTGTTCGGGACATTAAATGCGGAGAGATGTGTGTCTAATCAACTGTCAGAAGCCTTCAGAAAGAATCATAGCAATTCCCGCCAAAAGAGTATTTCTACCAACTTCCCGGTGACATGAAGTTATGTCACCGAAAAGCAGGGGGACTATCTGTATAGGGTAAAATATGCAATGCTACGTGGCCGCTCAAAAGAGGGACATGTGAAACCTAAGATGGGGGGATAACCAGAACCGAAGGCAATTGTACCGTCTGTCTCCGGAAAGAATAACGCTCATAAGGATGTAATAAATACTCTTCGCCCGGTAGCATTCAATGGAGAATATTCCACAGCATTAAATACGTTGCCCTTTACAAAAAATTTGGCATTTATGTTCACCATTACATTTTCATCAATGACCCTCATAATTGGCATTTAAGGGCACAATCCTAGGACCTCTTTCCCTAGACTTAGTTATAAATAGTGAGTTATGTTATTATTGTAAGGGGAGAAATTTTCTGGCAGATTAATACTACAATCTACAAAAAGCTCTATACAATTTTATCTTCTTATTTTCTGTCCTTATTATTGTTCTTATCCTTATTGCGCCCGGAGGCTTCATTACCAGAATTTTTACTTATGTTATTTCGTCTTCCTATCAAGGCCAAGTGTTATATATTTCTTCAATCATTTTATTATTTCAGGATCAAATTAATTCACTTATCTAGAAATCACGTATAAATTCAACTGTACCGTTTTTCGGGTAAACAAAAAGCATCCCAAGTGAAAGAACAAAAACCTTTAAAAGTTAGGACTTTTTCTTGTAATTGTTTTTTTTATTGCAACCAACTAAGTATTTTTATTCATCTTCCGCAAAAGAGGTGCAAAAGAGGTACAAAAGATCTGAGGGAGCTGTAACAACTACAGCTTACCCAGTTCTGATTTAAAGATAGACAGACTATCCTAGTAAGCTTCAGAAATGAATAAACAACAAAAATAAATGACTAAATAAATTAATAAACAATAAATTCAACAAACACTAAAACCAACAATTCCTACTAATATTTCTTTAACGGTTGAGAACCTTATAACCCAACTGATTGAAGTTGAACTTGTGCTTTATTTGCCAACATTACTTATGCTTATCCAAGATTCTCTAGCATAGACGCTTCTGCTGGGGTTTATCATCAATTTGGTCAATCTCCAGGAAAGTGAGGCTCTTTCTTTTGGATGGAACTGAAGAATTTTCTAATTTACCATTCCTCAGCAGTTGATTTGGTGACGATTGAGGAGATACTAAGCACTTGGGTGACTTATATATTTCCTTGTTAAGGTATAACATTTGATTATAGCAAGAAAACACATCATCCTGCAGTATTTGAACAATGTAATCTTCCATTGGGATATTCTAATAAAAAGTAAAGGGTCAGAGACTCACAATTTGAAGAATACCATTCAAAGGTAAGACATTTATTTCAACCTCTAAAGCTTCCATGGTCAAACTTTTATTTAGTACCAATAATGTAGCCGCTGCTGCTAGTACAGATGGTCTCACACTCATTAACTTTATATCTGCTTAATGGTAAAAAAAATCCAAAAACAAAAGGGACAAAAATCACTATTGACTAAATCAGAAAACTAGACTTTGAATGAGAAAAGAAAAAGCGTCAAAATTACCTCTGAGAGCACCAAAGATGATTTCCACAGTTCTGGAGATCACACATTTCCTTGAATCGTTTATGCAAAATCTTGATACAAAATAATTTATTAAATTAGAAGGAGTGATACACCCTATACTCCATTCCAGTGTATCAAGTACCAAGAGCTCCATTCTCTGAATCACTCTGCTCTCAAAAATGTATTCTTCCCTGGGATATTCTGTTAATGTTGGCACTTTGCATTCCTCCATTTTTGCAGCCAAAGATAAACATGCCACTGCTAAGTAGCTTTACTGCCCAGTGTTTTTCACCCTACAAAAATCCTAAACAATGACCAATCAATATTATCTAGGAGTAATATCAAAAAATTGGCTTACATCTAGAAACCTTCTTGAAAGAAATCCGTCACAATATGTCACTGCCATATAAACTGTTTGGAATCTAAATCCAAATGATTCTCCTGTCTGCATCAAGGTAACATTTTTTTCACATTCTCATAAAAAACATCGAAATTCCCATAAACCTTAGAAAAAAATAAACGGGGGTTTTTGTTAGGACTAACTTTAAGAATATACTGAAGTGCAGCCAAACGAGCTTGTTGAATCCAGTCAAAATTGGTAACATGTGAAGATTCTTGACCTTGGAGTCCAAAACTGGCAATTTCTCTATCAATCAACATTTGTATATATTCATCACCATTTTCTTCGGATATAATTCAGGGTGTGTTTACCCGAAAAATCGGATAACGTTAAATTTATGTATGGTTCTAAGGATACGTGATACCCTTTGATACAAATCGTATAGAGAGATAGCAATACGAATATTCTTGACTATGATAGTGGGAATAATGAATCATAAAGAATGAATAAAATGAAGTAAAACAAGTACAAGGATGTATCTTTTGTTCCAGTGTATTCAATGTGTCCATAGTTTACAAGGATCCCCTTTTATAGTAGAGGTCATTACTTTATTTATAACAAAAAATAATAAAATAAAGCATATAGTGGAGGACCCATGATGATTTGTCTCTTCCTCGATTCCAGCCAAGATTCTCTCCTCTTGGTGCAGTTGCAGCGGCTCTTGTCTGTGAGCTCGATACTGGCTCGAACTCGTTACTGGGTCGAGCACTTCGGTCTTGGCTCGAGTTCGACCTGCGGGATGGGCATCGCGCATTTCCGACCTCGAAGCAATGCCTTGCGGATCGATTTGGTCATGAGCTCGATAAAGTTATCGAGCTGACTCCTCGAGCAGCCTTCGGACTCAAGGCTCGTTAGTACTGTCTTCAGAGCTCACTCCCAAAATTCCACTCCGACTTGTTACCACTTGAACTTGATCGAACGTAGGAAGACCGTTATCTATTTCGACCATATACAGATAGTCCCCTCGTTTCTCACGAAGGATGCGGTGAGAATCGATATGATTTTCGAAGATTCGATCGAGGTATAAGCTGATGTTTTAACAGGGATCGATTATGACGTATGTGATAGTTGTCCCATCGATTTAGTCTTTTAAGGTATTTAATGCTTGTCAGATAGCGGTCGGCCACCTCTGATATTGAACCGTCATGATGCGAGCCTATAAATAACCCTTCCATCTAATATTTACCACTTTTATGCATTCACTACCCCAAATTTTCTTATCTTTTCTCTCTATCTCGTCGCTTGCAGAGCCATCTACACCAGAGTTTTGGTGTCGTCAATTTTTCACTTTCCTTTGCCTTTCTTCCTCTCACATCAATGGCCAAAACTTCGAAAACTGTACCTCAGAAGGAGAAAGTTTCTTCTTCATGGCCGTCTGGCGACAAGGCGCCGGTGGAGCTGTCCACCTATGACTATGTTCCCGGCCCGTGTACTCTGAAGATCGATTTTAAGGTTGAGAATCCTTCATCTGTTCCGGGTCGATGCGAGCATGTGTCGATGTGCATGTGCTCTATAACAGAGGGTCATCTCGAGGCCGATAGGAAAGACTGCAACTGGGGTTCTGAGGTTGTGTTGCAAATTCCATCACCCGAAGAGAGCGTCATCACCCATGTGGAGGGGTTTTTAAGTGTTTACACTTATCCCTTCACATTGGGTCCGGTCGATCCGGTGATCATTGACTTTTGCAAAAGATATCACGTCACCCTCGGTCAAATTCATCCCTCTCTATGGCGTATAGTAATCCTACTTCGCTTCTTCTCTATCAAAGCCGGGGGGCTGGATTTTTTCCTGAATCACCTCATATGATTGTATCGGCTTCAAATCTTTCGAGCACTAATCAAACTTCATCGTCGGGCATCGAAGGCTTTGATGTCGAGCATCGACGAAGACAAGGATCGGGGTTTGATGGGCCGTTATATTCGGGTGAGGACCCGTGACCTTATTCCGGAAGAGAAGATGCCGTTCCCCGAGGAATGGAATTTCGACCGTAAGTGGTTTTCATAAGACGTTGCTTTTCGTATCTTTTCCCTATTTTTTCTGATGTCTTTCTCCGGTATACAGCTGCCCCTTGGATGCCACAAGTGGTGCCCGACCTCGAGGATTGGGTTCGGAAGTTAGCCTCGACTTCCTCTTATGCCGAACGCGCTTGGCGTGATTTGGCAAAAGGTAGATGGGAGGCCAAGAATCATGGTAAGGTTTTACTTCTCGTTTCCTTCGAAGTGTTGTTTGTGCTCCATTCGTTACCGATTTCCTTTCATGCAGGTGTAACTAAGGATGCCGCTTTGAGGCCTTCGAGCGGTGAAGAAGGAACCAAGTCCCCGGTCCCGAAATCGGGGAAAGATAAGAAGTGAAAAGCTGCCTCTCGGTCAGAGGACCCCAAGCCCAAAACTCGAAGGGTGAGGAGGTAGGCAATTGCTCTTCCAATTGACTCGGTCCAACGACTGGGAGAAGAAGAAGAAGAATAAGAAGACGACAAAGGCGGTGCCTCGACTTTGGTGATCCGATCTGCGAGAGCTATCAAGGTCACCAAAGCTCCTGAGCCGATGGCGGCTGTACCGGTCGGGGTTGGCCCCGGGATCCCGAGTCTTGATCGGAGCGCCCCGAGTGATTCGATTGGGGCTATGACAGTGGGTCATACGCCTTTCCTTCCATCCTTTTCTGAGGAGGCGTTAAAGGAAGCTCGAAAATTGAAGACCCCCGATATGGGCGAAGTCTCTAGTGTAGGGGATCCCTTTTGGGATTGCTTTACTGGAGTCGATGATGCTTCCGATATTGGTGACGTTTCTCTTCTACTAGAAGAGGCCCAACGTTTCATTACTCGTGTAATGATTTTAATATACTCGGTTTCTTTGTTCTTTTCCAAACTTGACTTGTGTTCTTTCCCTACTGTACAGGCCATTAGTAGGTTTCGAGTCGACCTTAGCCAGTGTGAGGTCGAGCTTCAGAAGGTCTCGGGAGAGAGACGCCCTGCGGCTTCTTTGCAGCCAAAAGGACGAGGCAATAAAGGAACTCCAAGCGGATTTGGCTAAGGCTCGTGAAGAAGAGGCCGAACTCAATAAGCAAGTGAGCCTCGTTCTGTTAAAGTATGGGTTTGACTCGACTGTGGAAGTTAACCTTTCATTGTCTCAACTGCAGCAAAGGTTGAAAAGATCGGGTCACTTCGGGAAGAAGTTGATCAAATCAAAGCTGAATGTAATCGGTGGAAGGAGACAATCAACCGCCTGGCTGCGGAAAAAGAGACCATTTTGACCAACTTATTATCGACTGGTGTTCAGCTTGAAAACATCAAGCAAAAGGGTTCGGCTCAAGCTAAGAGGACCAGTGAGCTTGAAGCTCGGCTTGCTGAGGCCAAAGTGGAGGTTGAGTCGTCGAAAATCTTGGCGGATAAGTCCATTGTCGTGTATCGGGCTGATGCCGAGGCTGCTCAAATAGAGGCACGAGAGGTGGCGGATACTGCCGACACTCGAGCACATTGGATTGCCGAACTTGCTAAATGTAGGTCTCGAAGGGAGACCCTCGAGGAGATACACGCTCAAGGTTTCGACCTTACTGAAGAAATAAAAAAGGCTAAAGAGCTCGAAGTTGAAGCTGAAGCCTTGGCTTCTGATGGCGATGATGATGATGATGACGGTAGCAAGAGCGGATCCGAGGACGGGGAAGAGCCTGACAGAAAAGCAAACACCCCTGAGGATGATCAGGAAGCTTAGTTCTTAATTTTTTTACGTTTGTAATCAATTATGTAGAAATTTTTGTATATAGACAACTTGGCCGACTTGTGAAGACTTTATACGTGCCTTACAAATGTTTTCACAAGGATCTTAACAATTTAATCAAATTTGGACTTCGTAGTCTCTATGATTGACTATTTTTTTCAGACTCGAAGTGACGTAGCCCTTAGGCTTACTAGTTGAGTCAATGATTCGAACTCGAAGAAATATAACTCGTAGGCGTAATAGTCGAGTGAGTGCTTGCTTGAAATCGAAATGAAAGTAGCCCATAGGCTTTAGTCGTCGAGTGAATGATTCGAACTCGAAGTAATGTAGCCCGTGGGCGTAATGATCGACTGAGTGCTTGCTCAAACTCGAAATAAAAGTAGCCCGTAGGCTTAGTCGTCGAGTGAATGATTCAAACTCGAAGTAATATAACCCGTAGGCGTAGTAGTCGAGTGAGTGCTTTCTTGAACTCGAAATAAAAGTAGCCCATAGGCTTTAGTCGTCGAGTGAATGATTCGAACTCGAAGTAATGTAGCCTGTGGGCGTAATGGTCGAGTGAGTGCTTGCTCGAACTTGAAATAGAAGTAGCCCGTAGGCTTAGTCATCGAGTGAATGATTCGAACTCGAAGTAATGTAGCCCGTGGGCGTAATAGTCTAGTGAGTGCTTGCTCGAACTCGAAATAAAAGTAGCCCATAGGCTTAGTCGTCGAGTGAATGGTTCGAACTCGAAGTAATGTAGCCCGTGGGCATAATGGTCGAGTGAGTGCTTGCTCGAACTTGAAATAGAAGTAGCCCGTAGGCTTAGTCATCGAGTGAATGATTCGAACTCGAAGTAATGTAGCCCGTAGGCGTAATGGTCGAGTGAGTGCATGCTCAAACTCGAAATAAAAGTAGCCCGTAGGCTTTAGTCATCGAGCGAATGATTCGAACTCGAAGTAATGTAGCCCGTGGGCGTAATGGTCGAGTGAGTGAGTGCTCGAACTCAAAATAAAAGTAGCCCGTAGGCTTTAGTCGTCGAGTGAATTATTTGAACTCGAAGTAATGTAGCCCGTGGGCGTAATGGTCGAGTGAGTGCTTGCTCAAACTCGAAATGAAAAGTAGCCCAGAGGCTTTAGTCAT